ATCATCAACAGTAAAAGCCCCTTCTCCCTCCAGCCATCTGTGACAGGCTAAAATCATCCTGTGGGCATACATTTTAAATTACCCTCTCTCAATATATTGCATGTCTAAACTAGGCACGGGAGGACTCTGGCATTATTGCATACTATGAAAGTAGTATTTCACGTACCTTTTCATAGTCTGTGTCTTTAAGATTTATAGTTCGAAAGGCCTCAGCAGTTATCCTATCAAGCAGTGTGACTAATAGGCAGATCTATTCTTTTTTTGGGACTTCCATTAAGTGGGAAGCTGACACTATCATTAGTTGCCTCATTAAACAATTTAAAGTCATTTCTGTGGGCTTTTGGATGCTGGTACTAAGTTGTCTGCTTTCCAGCTTGAGCCTTCTGCAGTGCAAAATAAGTGCGTTCTCGCTGGCCTGCTCTTCTAATGGTTTCCCGTTCATCATCCAGAGTCCCATTTGGCTAGTATGGCTGTTTCCTCTTCATACCATGCCACCTATTGACTTGTAGATATTTTCCTGGATTCTTAGCAGTTGTTCCTTGAAGCTCTGGTCTGGATCTCTCACTAAATCCCACCACTGTCAACCAGTGTTTAGGGATCACAAAATAGGAGAGAGATTCCAGGCCCAAATATCCATATTTATTTACAAACTCAGCTGATGATCCCCCCAAAAAAATCCTCAACTCCGTAGTTCCCAGTCCCCAATCTACACTGCCTAGAATGCCAATTTTGCATCAACACAGCCCTTGACATGCCCACCAAAAGTCCCCCTGCGAGGGGGACAGATCTTTTCAAATGTTAAGGCCACCCCCCATCTCTCAGCCAGATAAACAATAAGCGGCAGAAGTGTCTCCAAACATCAGCAGCATTTTACAAATACAATACAAAATCATTTATAAAAACACATGCTTTATGACAAGCATCTAACTGGATTTCAAACAGATAGAATGGAAATGCAAAATCACAAAAAAGAAAAAAAATCTCCCCATGGATACAGCAGGTCTGGTTTTCTATATTGTTCTCCGGTTATGGAGGTTTGTACTTGGGGCCTTCATGATCCCCAGACTTAGATGACCTATAACTGCCAACATCCCACTACCAGGCCTCCCCAGCTTTTCCCCAGCTAATGCAAGCTTTCCAGCAGGAACTGTAAAACAGAGTCAAGTCATACTCAAGGTTGGCGTGCACGGCACAGAAAAAAAGTTCTACAGACTTGATGGGGTAAGGATCACTTTTTTTAACCACTTTTTTGGACCCATATGTGGCTTTGTTACAGCAAACAAACAAAAAAGAAAAATTATTGCAGTGAAACAAAAGGCAGCATCACAGAAGGCAAAATAACATCAATTTAATTTAGGTCATACATACTGGTGTACAAAAAGTACTAACTAACAGTCAAACAAAGGATAATAAACTCCTGAATATAAAACAATGGATTGCCGATTTGCTGAGTATTTAAACTATAGCATGTTTATGGGCAGAACAATACATGTCAGTCCAAGGTCTGACTAGCCAAATGGAAGACTAGAAGAGTGTCCGGTGGGCCCTGTTCAAGGTTACCACATGCCCTTGGAGTTCAATTATGCAGGGTTACTAAAGAAATTTTAGCACGGTCTCCTGTGCCTTTCTCAAGATACTTGGTCTCCGCATTGGTAGAGATAATTATGGATTGGAGTGGGAGCCAGGGACACCTAATGTCACATGCAAAAGAGAAACATTGTTTTTACAGGGTGTGCAGAGGATGTGCAGGAAAGAGGTCTATATAGATAAGGATGCATAAAAGGATGTAAAAGAGAGGGGTGTGTACAAAATTTACATATCTGTTTTTTAACATGTTCCACACAGTGAACACTTTTCCTATTAAATATTCTACAGTGACATGTGAGTTGTCTCTTAATAGTGCCCTGTTACATTCACTTATGTAAGCTTTTCATATTCCCAGAACCGAAATATGTCAGCAGTCTTTAATAGTCTTTTGTAACACTACGGGCAGTTATACGTTTAACGGCTGCCATGTTTTGCGAGATTGCTTTCATGATACTTGTGGGCAGTAGTCGCTTAAAGTTGAATAAAAGTTCTCTGACTGGACAAGGGGTGAAGACATCATGATCTGCCTCTTGTCCAATCACAGAACGCCTTGTATTTATAGACACAATTATTTGGTATTTTCTGTATGTTCTCTGGGCCAAGAAAGCAACCCCTTGTGTTTTCATAGCAGTCGAAATGCTGCTCAGCTCAGTACAATTACAGAACCCAGAAGATCTCTGTAAAGCATTGTAGTAGCTCCATAGTAGGATCCCCATGGGCTGCTCAGGTATGACATATGCATACTTACATTGAGCCAATATGGACCAATGTGAGTAGGCATAAAAAAAATTATACAGATATTCCTCGCTTACCGACTTACCTGTTTTGCGACCACTCGCACTTATATTGGACCGCCGATCGACCTCCGACCTTGCGCGTCAGTGCGCCGTATCGCCAGCGGAAGTGGTGTCCTCCGATCTTCACAGCGGGTCCCGGTAGGTATTTTAATTGTCCAATGTACAGTACATCGGCAACGCTATACAGTACTGTACTAATGCAGTACAGTACTGTATAGAGTTCCTCACTTAACGACCAATCCGTTTAACGACCTGGTCGTAGGAACGGAACTGGGTCGTTAAGTGAGGAATACCTGTACTTATAGATTTCAACACTGGGTCTCCCTGCTGGTTATTGCTCTGCAGTAAGATCGGTTTTTGTGGGAGGGACCAGCAAGGTGATGTAGTATCTTCCTGTAAATGTCACAGTACCCAGCCTTGGATCTTCTTTGAAGAGCCCTCCCAAGCAGTTAGAGCGGGCAGCAGCTTAGGTTTTTTTTTTTAAGCGCAGTGATATCTAAATTGAAATCAAGAGCCTGACTCTGACCTGCTTTTCAGTTTCCCCTGCTCACATCAGATTAGCACATGTCTTCCTCTCACAAAACAGGAAAGAGAATTGACCAAAAGAAAATCACATTACATGGCTTTTCCAGATATGTAATAACATACGTCCTTGTAAACATCAGTGCAAGCATTCGTTAAATCTGATTGTCTGTCCTGTCTGTACGCTACGAAAGACGCAGGCTGTTTTTTGAACTTCGGGGTTGGCAGCCTTATTTAAATTCATAATAATGTTCCCCAAGAGGGATTGCTAGCTGTAACTACCTGTGGAGGGCCCAACTTATCTTAGAATCTATAGTCTTCGCAGTTGCCTCAACATATAACCTGGATTGGGGAGGTCAAGCAAAGTGTGCCCAGATGCCCTCCCAGTCGAATTGATGCATCGTTTTCCCTGCTTGTGCGTTGAGATAACCATGTAGATCTTTGAGCCATGATGTATGAGCTATCTTTGAGCCATGACTATATGCCCATATAAGCTCCTGAAGAAGCGGTGGTGACCGTGAAATGCGTAGAGCAAGAGATATGCCCCCCTCCACTGAAACCTGCATAATCGCTACTGACATGGAGTTATAATGCTATTTGTATGATGTATATACAGATAATCAGGTCCAACTACTTGATACATTGAAGGGTTGCATTTCCATGGGAGTCATAGGCTCCTATACATTTGAGCAAGATTAAGCATGTTGATGTTTTTCATTATTATCAGGTGATTTTATGAGAGATTTCTACAAAAAGTATTCTCTTTAATAAACAAATATTTGGCAGATAAAAGGCATATTTAGCTGCTTTGATGGAACTCAAGATTAGGCTAATCTTAGATTTTAAACTGTAGAATTTAATTTTTTTTTCTTAAGGCTCCATAGAAGTACCCCAGAGGTGCTCAGACAGTAAACCACAAACTCTCAAATGTGGCCATTTTCATCCTTTGGTGTACCTGCAGTCTCCAGGAGCTGGGGTTCGTCATTGAATGCTTTCAAATACATGGATAAACCCTGTATGACTACTATTGTTTCACTCTAAGTTAGTGCATGAAGTCTGCAGTTAGCCTTCCCTATCCTGCTCCAACGGCCAAATATGAAAGTTAGCACAATATTTAAGTTTTTGTCTGGGAGGGGTCAGATCATACCTGCACGTGTGCCACTCCATAATATCCAAGGAAGTATTCAATATTTAACTATGGTAAACAGCCAGAAATATCTTAATCTGTCATGTAAATTATTTACTTTTTTCTTCCAAACATTTATTCCATTCATGTTAAGCTAAATTAATTTCCATTTTCTGTTATCAGTAGTGAAAATATCTACTATTATGCCAGTGATGTAGACAGTCCCCTTTTATTCCAAAGGCCCTGTCTAATCCATCTTGTAATACACGTTGATTACTTCTTTTGTTTAGTATGCCCAAATGGTGACTTTTATACTTTCATGTAAACTTTAGGAATGTGTACTTAATTATGTAATGAGCAGCTTCCCTGGCTACTGATGGTTTCTATATGCAATAAAAGCACTAATTCTATGACAAAATGTACTACCTCTCTCGCTAACAGCTTACATACCACATTGTGTGATGCTTATTTGGCGTTATAGAACTGGTGAATCCACGCCTTGAGGGGAACAAAGTGTTGATGCCCCTGATATCTCTTCATTTGTACTTCTATAGTCTATTACCAAAGTCATGTTTTATTAGTTTTTAGATCAGATCTACAATGAAGTTAAGACTTCTATTGAACAGATTGTTTTATTATGTTTGAATTTGTCCTTTTATTAAACAACAATTTATTAATTCTAATAACAATTATATTTTGAAATGTGTCTTTTCCAAAAAAAAAAAAAGAGGATATATTTTAGATCTGTTCCCAGACAAAGTGCATGCTGTGTTGAAAGCGCTAAGGTATTGTGCAAAACATAGCCATTCATCTCTTTTGTTTGATTTATTGAAATTTGCTGATAAAGAAAATGTGAACTATGCATCAGTTTCAGTACAACTAAAAAGGGTTTTCTTTTAAGGGCAGTTAAGTTTAATGTTTTGCATTCAAGTGCACACTTAAGCATGGAGAAATATGAGTATACTCACCAATTTTAACCTTTCAAGAGGAATTCTGCTTATGTCTATCTGTGATCTCTCCATCACATTTTCAAACCTTACTTCTGGCACAGCAATCGCACACATTACATGCGCCCACCTACACAATTTAACAAACAAACATAATTGTAAATGTTTATCCTTGACAGGTTCCAAGAAAAACCCTATAAATGTAAAATTAAACTGGAAACACATCAATACTGCAATTCTTTATTTGGAATAATGCTTGCCTGTGTTTTATCTTTTACTAAAGATGAGCAAAACAAAAAGTAAAACAGGATAGGCTGTATATTTCTGATCTTTCCCATCTAAATACAGTTCTTCAACGTTACAAATATGTGTGTTCAGGTTTGTTTGTTCTGTAAATAATGATGTAATTTCCAAATCCAGGCAACCAGGCCTCATGAACTTTATAATTCTTAACACATAGAGCGACCTTATTTGGAAGGGTTGCAATTTGACAAAAAGGATCAGATTTGTATAATGTGCCCATCTGCAGATTGTTTTACTAATCTTTATCTGTTGATCTGAATCTATGACATAACGTATACCATACATTATATTTGCATCTTTAAATTTTGTATACCATTTCAATGAAATCCAAAATCTTACATACCAGAATGGAATTATGGAGACAATTCACAATCACCTTAGGCTGCCCATAGAATTTAAAGGGAAGTTGGATGAACAGGTGTGTTGCACCAACCGTCAGGGAGCATATCATCCAAGTGGTGCAAAGCAAACCAATAACTGTGCAAGATCGGTTCAGCCAACCCCTCAAGCTTAAGGGGAAAAGTTAAGAGCTGAGCAGCACCAATAGACAATGCCAGCATTGTTTATCTCAGGAAAAAACATAAGCAATCAGAACAGGTTTTCTAAGCCGCCCCCTACTCGACACCTGAGAGCTTCTGGTCAGTGGGTATCTGCCTGCCACTAGACTGTTTGGTCACTGCGATCACACAGAACAGAGCCGATTTCACTGGCTCTGCTACACGTTGTTCAAACTGCACTGTCCAATGGACAGTATGTATAAACTTGCTTACTCATGCGCACGCTAGGGGGCAGGCGTAAGATAGACAAATAAATTAAGTATATTTACGAGAACCCGCTGGGAGTGGTCAGCTGTCCGACCGTTCCATTACAACGGGTGAACGGCAACTGGTTAAAAAACTCTCCAACTGGAACTGATCCTCACGTGGCACAGAATGGGTGGAATATCTGAATACCTTTGAAAACAGTTTAACATTTTCATGAAGTGTAAAAATCAGGTCTTGCTAGACTGAGCCACAACAACCTGCTTAAATGTTATGGGTAAACAACTCACTATAGAGCAAACTATGAAAACATTAATTATTTCCCAAACAGTTTTCTGGGTTTTTGACAAAACTAGGAAGATTGAGTAATCAATAGTTCCTCTGTTTGACTAATGAAGGAAATACGCTGGCGTATGATAAGGTTCCCACAGACAGTGACAAAGGAGTTTCATTAGCTCAGATAAGTGGCAGACATAGCATGTCTCAGTAGAAATGTGTATTTTTTTGTGGCACCCAATTAAATCAGAAAAAAACAATATACATTTACCATTAGAAGCAAGCGTACTATACCTCTATTTTGTATAACAGTAAATTATTTGGACCAGTGTAACAAACTTAAATAAAAACCTTAAATGATATGTATATATAGCTAATGACAGCACAGCTCATTTAAGTTGAAATTGCAGATAACTAACACACGTATGAAAACAACACAAGCGAAAAAAAAATCCAGTGTTTTCAATATGCCATTTCACTACCGTGATTAGAGTGCTAGAAGAAACCTAAAAACGCATCCTGAATAAATCACACCCAAATCCACACAGGAGTTTAGGAAAATAAGCACTTCAGCAACCATGAACTTATAGCAGAAAAAGATCCCTTGACTGTGCTCAATAAACGAATAGCTGTGATCAGTGGATGACAAGCCAATGATTGCAGTCATGAATTAAAACGCGATTCCACCCACTCCCTGCTACAGCAGCATCGGTCAGATTCTCTCTCCCTGCACAGCCGCTTGTTAGAGATGCTCTGTGAGGCTGCAGTCTGCTGGCTCTGAGTCCTCTCTGATTCCTGCTGCCCCCTGCCTGTACCGGTAGAGACAGTGGGCACACAGAGCCAGCAAATTACAGCAGCACAGAAATCTCTGCTGGCTGGTGACGATACAGAGGGAAGGAGAAGCAGATTGAAGAACTAATATAGTGAGTCATCAGTAATATTGACTTGCTGTGTTCATCCATAACTGAATTGATAGTAAACATTGAGTCACATGTTTACTATCAGTTCAGTTTGTGAATGCAACAACAGTCAGGCCAACTGAGGCTAAACGTGGAATGGTGGGCCTGGCAGCAATGTTAATCGTCTCATCTCCACAAGTATATACTTTACTTTCCATCGCTGCTCCACAGAACTGGCATCTTAAGTGAATACACAGTAATTCTGAATAAATAGCATGTGACTATGCCATATGACTGCACTGTCACAAGGGGGGTCACTAGCCCTGTCTAAGTAATGACTCTGGCAACTGGCTTACACAGTACTTTTCTTTGGTTCCCAGAAGTTGAATGGATTGGTTGGGGAGCGAAAGGTAGGTGTCTAGGTCTGCCCTAAAGTGAACCTGTTTCTTTGCCCTGCAGGGGCAAAGTATTTATTCACTTTAAGGAATAGCAGTAAAGCTCCAGGATAGCCTTCCCAATGGAAGATTATTGTTACTACTGTGCTACCCAAACATACATTCCACTACCATGGGCTGGCGGACTTGCTTCTGCTAGCTGATTTCTTTACAGAATTAAGGGTTCACTTTTTATGTATCGATATGATATGGGTTCTGGCAATGGTGAAAATTATACTAAAGGAAACTTAACAGAAGGAAATAGAATATACATTTTTAAATTGCTGCTACAATGAAATATATAATTGTATAATCAGTGTTTAGCAAGTAGCAAAACCAAGTAAAGGTTAAGGGAAGTCTTCTTAAAGCAGAACTCCAGTCAAAAAAAAGGCAAGCATGATTCAACCCACTTACTCTGCGCTTAGGCTGTCATGGGCTGATGCCAGCCTATCACTGGACAGTGAAAGGAGAAGCAGTACAATGATGAGCTCACCTCTCTGTCACTCTGCTATCACCCCTCTTATCAGCATGTTTGTCAGAATAAAAACTGATGGCTTGTTGTGCTGCTTCTTCCTCTCCCTCTTTGAGCTATTCTGTACAGGGACTGGAAGAGGCTGATACCAAGTCAAATTCAGGTTTAAATTGCTTGCTTAAAAAAAAATGTAATGATGTAATATAAGATACAGAAAACCATGCATTTTTGTATTTTACATCTGCCTAGCTTTAAAAAGATACAGTTTACAGCAAACGCTTGTAGGTCTGTTACTTACTTATCATCAGTAGTTTGCTTTAGTGCCCCTCCTCTTAAATTGCAAAGGCAGCATTCCTAAAAGAGAGAGAAAAAAACAAGAATATCCCTAAGTCTGTTTGAAAATCAGCCTTCTACACATTAAAAAAAAAGGCAAACGTAAATCTATAAATCATAAAACCAATTGTCAGTTCCCTTCATTATCTCTACTTGTATAAAATAGTTTTGTAATGGCTCTTTCACAAAACATTTAAAAGAATGACAATACAGAAAAACAGTTTTCAAAAACCCTCAAAATAGAAATGTTCTCTTCTGTTTGACATGCATTTTGACACCGGTTTTGTTTAGAACTTGTAAAATGCAAAAGATTCAAAGAATAACACTTATCAGACAGTAGAAACATTGAAACAATGACAACACTGAACTCAATATAAATCCACCTCTTGATGTATGAATACTCTTTCAAAGTACAATTTGCTATCAATACAGTACTGACACATGCACATCTAGAGTAAGTAATGTCAGTAGGGCACAATCATGTGTTTGTAAGGAAAACTGCACTTCAAGAGAAATATATAGGTTGCCACTGTTGACATTTTTTCCTTTTGGTTGGCTGGCTGTCATGTTAATATCCCTTCTGATCTTACTATCAGTAAGGACAGTAACTTAAAATCTGTACCATGTTGTAATTTTTTTATATGGATTAATAAAATGCTGGACTGAGCCTAGAGGGACCTGTGATGTTAAGCCCTCTCCAGTCATATGGCAGTGCTCAAGCCAAACCATTATCCTGATGCCAAAGCACTGCATCTTGGGAGGAGGTAACATGCACCCCCGACCCCCCCCATTCCTAGAAGCACTGGGTATTTTGTGCCAGGTGCAACAAAAAAAGGAGTAGTAGGGGATCGTTGAAGAGGCATCAGTGGCTTGGGGGAAGGAGGGGCTTCAATGGGCATAGTGACAGTGCCTCTTTAAAGCTTAGGGTCATATCATGTTTTTGAAGTTACTGTATTATTGGGGGAGTTAGGAGGTAAAGTATTATTTTAGGGGTTATGTAAAATTTTAAGACTTTTAGATCAGGGAACTGGTAAACTTTTAGGCCTGGTTCACACCTAGGCGGCATCGTTTTTGCACGCATGGGCTCAGCGTGCAGTTATTTGCACTTAAGAAATATTGAGGTCAATGGACAAACGCAAGTACAAATGCGCAAAAAACACGCACGAAAATGTGCAACATGCTTCTGCTGCGCGTGTTCTGATGTTTCCATTAAAGTCTATGGGGGGAAAACAAGCTTGAACCAGGCCCCAATGTAGCAACAGGTGTTAGGTTAAAGTTACAGTTCAGTGTGGTGAAGTATTTTTCTTTTTCACCGTTTCAGTGTTTCAGTGTTTAACCCAAATTTGAACACTACCAGTACCAATTTTTTACCAACAAAACATTTTGAGGGGAATTTATCAAAACTGGACAAAATGTAAATCAGCTTTTTTTGTTTAGTTTGTTCAGTTAAAATTTGAAAATGAAAGATAGAAGCTGCTTGGTTGCCATTCACAGCTGCTCCAGATTTTATCTGCTCCAGTTTTGATAAATTACCCTCAATGCATCCTGAAAGAGGATGCATATGACAAGACCTAAAATGATGTATGTTATATTAAGTCAAACAGTGCCAGCTTTCCATTATCTAGTTTTAAGATGGCAACATAGAAGGAACTTTAGTCTGCCAAAAGGAATTCAAGCAAAAAAAGGAATGATTACCCTAGAATAGCCTGAGAATACGAAGGGCTTTAGCATATCATTATGTTATGAGCACCTTGGCTTTTTCAAGCAATCGCTTTTCCATATCTTTTGTTTAATCATCGGGACCCATTTATTAAAGAAAGTTCTTTTTTTTTTGCACATCTATTCTTGCATATGGATTACAAAAATATGTTCTTTAACCTCTTTTTTTTCTTCAGAAGTTGGGGAATATTAAGTGGAAATATAGAGAAGATACATGTTAAGCACTGACACTTTGTTACTCAAAAATAGAATTATGATCGCCTGACCTTGAGCAGATCCCGAAGTGAATTCTCTGATATAAAACATAAGATCATCTGCTACCATATTTCAGGCGTATGCCGGATACCCATTGTGTTGTACAGCTGCTGCATAGTCTGCTCTCAGAATAATAAGAGAACCAAGATCAAGCTATAACTTGAAACATTACCTAAAGGATGAGGAAAAGCAGCATACCCATATTTCAAATCTATCGATTGCAAAAGAGATGCCACAATTATTTAGGGAAAGAGATGAGGAAAAAAAAAAAAATGGTAAACAACAAGATGTTGATGCTAAAATGAACAGACTATTCATATACATGATAGCCTTGAATATAAAGACCTACAATTAATATAAATTACCTTAATTACCTCTGCAGTACATGCAGCACTTGTAAGTGGCTTCAAGGTTAGCGTGTCTACTAGTTAGTAAATGATCCATACAATAGAGGTGGGATTCCCACTATCACTATGCCCACTAGCCTGAAAACAACTTGCAAACGTCACAACATCTTTTTAATGACCAGAACAATCTAGCAGCTTGAAGATATCAAAATGGTAGAAACATTTTTATAAGACCCCCAGAAGTCCATGTAGTGAAGAACCCAGCTGCTGTATACAATAACAACTGACATCTTATGTCAGGTGATCTATCAAATTACACACAATGGTTTGTACAGTCTACCCAGGAAAAATGATGGCCATTGAAAAACACTGGAGAAGTGAAAGGCCAGAAAAAAGATAGATTGCGAAGAACTCTGTCAAATAGTACATCAGAAACTAAGAGTAAACATAAATAAACTGCTGAAAAACACAAAAAAACCCAACTGGGAATTTAATGATACTCAATTAGGATAAAGAAAAGCATAAAAAGCTCATAAAAGACACATACTGTATATGAATGAACGGCTGGTATAGAATTATCCACAGAAAAAGAAGAATGTTATCCCTGTACTCTTTATAAGATTTTATCAGCCTTAGATCTTTATGGTGGGTGATGTGCTCTATTAAAGTTTGCACATAAGCATCCACGCATCTGATATACTGGTATTACTGGTGCTTTTCTGGATATTCATTGTATTATTGCTAGGGTTCTTAAATATTTTAAGACAGTGGTGGTACTCCTATTACACCTTGGAAATTCATGCCTCTGGAAGGAAGATGCACATTACACCCAGACAACTCCATTGTTTTTAAGCTGGATAGTTTTTCGTTATAGAACACTATATAACAGCGTTCTCCTACTCTGCATAATCATTTGTACCTCAGCATCTTCACGTCCTATACACAGTGTAAAGAACGTGATGACTGAGAGGTCCTTAGGTCGCTGCAGTGGAGGGGGAGTGAGGCACAAGTGACCAGTCTACGAAAAACAAGCCGGCTCTGCAGTTCAGGTGAGTATAACTTTTTTTTTAAACCTAGACAAAAAGGAGCACTTAACCCTCGCAGTGCGGGGGTAGCTCCACAGCAAGTTCTGCTCTAACTCCTCTTACTTGAAACAGGAAACAACAAAACACAGATTAAAAACTCCCTGCAAGGAAGAGCTCTAAATAGGTATAAGAAAACCAGACACATACAAAACAAAAACCATAAGGAAAAAAAGGAAACGTGCTTTTAAGGAAGATTCTCAAGGATGCAGTTACTAGTAAAAACTCATCTGACATTCCCTATTCATCTTCCATTACAGCAATTTGAAAGGATAAGAGAGAAATATAATAGGGTGGGTCAACCCCTGAAGAGGCCAACTCCAGCCAAATGTTTTTTTTGTTTTTTTTCAGGTCATTACCTGTCCCTTTCATAACCAGAAAAAGAATGAGGGGAATGGTTGTAACTCAAACAGGAACACAGACAGTAATAATAATCTGACAGAAATGCCAGCCTTTCCCCATTTTACTGAAAATAAGGGTATTGCTGTTTCTGTGTTCCCACTGAAGAGATCTCCCATCACTTCCTGTTCCGACAGGATGTAGAAAATAAATGTTTCCAAAGGGGACAGATGCGAATAGGAACGTGACACTTGATCCCTCTTGTGTTGTTAAGAAAGTAGCTCTATCCAACACTTAAAAGGCTGGTCATTATACAATGTTCCTACAAAGTGTGAGGGGCTACCTAAATAATCAATTCAATTTGCATCCAATCAAATAGGCCATTCCACTCTATAGTGGATGGTAAATCTAAAGTAGATTGTATGCAAAAATCTGAAGAGGACTTGAAATCTGACCCTGGATGGAAAGGGTAGTTGATACTGTAGTGACTAATAAAGGGAGACAGGGAGACATGATAAAAGAGGTAAGTGTAATGTATAACAACACTAAAGCTAGCCACACACCTTTAGATTCTTAGAAATCACTTGATTGCCTCATCCACGCTGAACAGCATGGATGAAGGAATCTCTGCTTCTGTCTACTGTATTTAGTGTTGACTGGGAAAAAAAAGACTTGTTGAGCTGGGTGGTATTGAGATGGCAGCAAACTGTTCCAGTTTTTGCAGCTTTGGTAAGAATCAGCCGCAATTCGAGAATGTATGACCAGCCTAACACTTCTAGACACCTTTAAAGCCAAGAGTTTTTATTTTTATTAAAAGTTAAAATATTACTGCTTATGAATGCGTACTACCATTAAAAATTTAAAATACCCCAGAGGCAAACTGAGGATTTAAAGACAGGCATAAAGAGGTTTTCCGGTACTTCTCTTGATTAACCCTGAGCATGAAGTACCTGTTTGGTTTATGACAGATATACATAATTCCATTGTATATAGCCATCCACACCAGGGGGTCAACCTAAAGTACCTGTGTAACCTAATAAACAATTAGCCATCTCGATGTTGGGTACAGAGAAGCACCTGTTATTTAACGGTCACTGAATCACTGCTGTCAAAGTCTGAAGCACCTACAATGCAAAGATATACTAAACTATAGCTCGGTACATTAGCCATAAAAAGGACCAAAGCACCTGTCTAACGTAAAGCAGAACTCCAACTTTGATTATAAAATGAAGGTTGCATCTGTAAATATCTTCTTATCCGAGTCCTGCTGTTCCTTTTCCTCATGTCACCAGCCTGTCTATAATCTTTAAATAAACAATGCTTCCGGCTGCAGACGAGTGCCCTGATTCAAGCTGTGTGACCGAGTTAAAAATGAGCTGGTGCTGTGTCCAACATTTTACCTATAATCAGCCCATAGGACGGTTATGATTTGTTTTGGCCAACCTACTGTTTAATCCTCTTTATTACGTTGCCCATTAAGTCACACTGCACTGGGATTTTTTTCTCATACAGTAGTCTCCTTTTGATTCTTCCTCATACACCATTACTGTTGTAGATGTCTTTCAACAATCTTACCATGATCCATTAACATCCATATGCTGTCATTGTTATTGCTTTAAACAACTTTGAATGTTATATAAACACGTTATATAATCAAGTGATGTCACAGGTGGGCATGTTAAGGGGCGGTTATATGGGTGGTCTCACAACTGTTTGTGGTCACATTATTGCCCTGATGAAGGGACCCAGTCTGGCCCCGAAACGTTGGTAGTAAGTTATATGTGTCGACTGGTCCGATTAAATGGACGTTTATTATCTGAAAATATATACATTGAGTGCTGGTGATTCCTGTTTTCTACTGATTACTGGGGCCTTCTGGCCAGTAGGGAGCAATAAGGATCACCAAAATACCCTCTGTTTGGATCTGCGAAGGAGGTGAGGAAAGAGTTCCAGAGTAGGGAAGGCACAGGCCAGGCTGAACTGATCCCACAGAGTCACCAAGGCATCCATGGCCAAGGCTTGGGGATCCCTAGTCCTGGTGTCAAACCCGTCCAGTTTGTTGGAGAACCTGTATGCTAGAAGGTCCATGTCTGGCATCCCCCACCCGTGAAAAAAGGGCTCAGAACACCTCTGGATGAAGGGACCACTCTCCAGATGCTGATAACTGAGGTAGTCCATCTTCCAGTTTTCCATTCATGTGCACTGTGGACAGGGCTGGAATGTGAAGTTCCTCCTAGGCTAAAATACGACCCTCTGAGTTGTGTGGCTTCTGGTGTCTCCCTGATGGTTGATGTAAGCCATGGCCATGGCGTTGTTCAACTCCTGGTCGAAAAGCAAGAGCAACAAATTGGAAATGCTGGGTTCCCACAGTAAAACACAGGTAGTAATTGAGGTGGAAAAAAGGGACCTGTGAATATGCATCCTTCATGTCTGCCAAGACTAGGAAATCGCCTGGGTGAGGGGAGGCAAAGACAAAGCAGGTGGATTCCATATGAAACTTCTGCACCCGCAGGAACCAGTTGAGAATCTGCAGGTCTAGGATAGGGCAACCCCCTGCCCCTTTGATTCTGGGGGTGGTAAACAGCTTGGGGGGAAAAAAAACCTGGAACATTTCTGCCTCTGGAAGTGAGACTATGACCCCCTGAGAGAGAAGCTGACTTAGGACAGGAAAGACATCAGTCGTGCTGTGAGAAAATTTGGGTAAATTGAATAGCAGGAAACAAGGAGATGCAGGGATCGAAACTCCAGTTTCTAGTCTTGGGTTAGGCCACTGTGAACCCAAGCTTCAGAAATTTCCCTCACCTCACCAAGAAGGCCAAATGACCCCACCACCACCCCATAGTAGCGGCCTGTAATTGTGAAGAGGGCTTGTTCCTGGATTTAGCAGGTTTGGAGGACCATCATCCTGCTTGAGCTCTGGAAAGGAAAAAAAAGCAACTTTATCCCCTTTCACTAAAAATCACATCAACATGCAGCTCTGCATGTGGATATGAAATCATCTTACATTTATTAGTTAAACAAACATTTTTTGCTTTTACTTACAATTACTCATGGGAACTTTGGGGTCCGCAAAGACAGACCAAGGGTCCCTAGCCATAGCTTTGGACCATACAGACAGAGTCTGACATACTGCCATAGAGGCAACAACAGGTTGCACAGCCAGGCCTGCAAGGGCAAACAGGGCCCTAAAAAGGGCTTCTAATCTCATGTGGTCCTTGAAACTGGCATGCCCTTAACAGGGATCAAAATGTCTTGTTCAAAACAGAACATTTTCTAGGGAAGCTATAGGATATTGGTAGGCAAATAACTTCTCAGGGTGATCCTAGTCATCAATACAGGCTGTAATAGTGAGTGTTTTGAAAAACCTTTTGTAGCTTTAGGCATTTTCAAGGACCCCAAATTCATGCAAGCAGATGCGAGTATAAATTTACATCATCTGAATTTAAGAATCTTCCAGAACAAAATGTATTCATGAGACCATAACGGAAATTACAATGAGCTTCCAAGAACCCCATCAGAACTGTTTTCTCTTTATAATGCTATGCACTGCGGGAAAGATGGTTCTGCATTTATATTGAGAATATATATATATATATATACACATACATATATATATATTAGGGTTGCACAGATACCAAGTACAGTACTCGGTACAAGTACATGTACCGATACTTTTGAGCTCCAAGACTACACTAGAGAAAAATTCAAAAATTAGGAGGCACCTGTCATTTGTAAGGAGCACACGGAGCTCCTGGGATTTGTACATCTCTGTTTTAATGTAACTCTACCGAGAGCTGCTACTGAACTCCCTTTGATCTCCTGTCACAGAGCCGCACAGCGGATCTCGGGACCGAACACGGCAGTCACAGATGCTGATGCAAGTGATCGAGCGTCTATAGAGA